GCCGGCCGCCCAGAGACTCTGCAGTCCTTCAGCTTCCGAGGCTCCAGACTCTCCAGGCTTTCTTGTTGAGTGGAAGCTCAGGCTTGTGACCTTCATGGGGCTTACCGCGACCTGGTGCCGGAACCCGAGTGATGCTATGGCGCTATGGCTCCCTCTCTCTCCCTATCTCTCCCTATCTCTCCCTTTCTCTCCCTTGCTCTCCCTCTCTCTCTATCTCTTTTTCTTTCTCTTTCTCTCTGGTACTTTTCAGATGCAGTCGTAGAGTTTATGCCCTGCCGGTCCATGCTCTGTGATCTTCTGCTATGCCAAGTACGGATGCAAAAACGTCTTTCAGTGTCGGTGCGTATACATTTGCATGCATGCCGGCCGGGATGTATGCATGTATGTATGTATGTATGTAGATATGTAGTTCTACTTCTGTCTGTCAGTCTATCTATCTGACCCTTGTGTGTGCGCCCTTACATAGAGAGGAAGGTGACAGAATCTGATTCTAAATGACATGCAATCTGTCTATGCCATGTCGTCTGCAATCGTTGAATTGGAGAGTTGCGATGCCCGGAGATCTTTCAAGGAGTTTCTCAGAAGCGGTCGGATCTGAGGTGGTGTCGGGGTGAACCTGCCCATTTTGACCGAGATTGTGGGGAGCTTTTCGACACAGTAACCCAGCGGTCTTATTCTCTTGGTCCACAAGGTGCGTCCCGAAGGGAGGTCCACGATCCTTGCCTGGGAATCTGCTCTGGAGAGCACATTCGCGGCTATCCTCGGCAATGCTATGGCAGCTTGCTGAAAAGCTTAGTCGATTTTTACATGGTCATGGCATGATGCGTGCCGAGCTTGAGTGAGTCCATTTGCTTTCGAGGTTGGCTTCTTGGCCCAGAACGTGTTTGGATACAAGCGCTGTCCTGAATGGCTTCATTGCAGCTGCGGGCAATTGGTTGTGCTAGAAGATTCTTGCTACGAGCATCACCCGCGCTCTGCTGTGGCACGGCGCCATTATCCTATCGCTTGGGGCGACGAGGCTTGATGAGGACCACAAGGAGGCCGTTTCCGATCCTGAGAGTCGGCGTGCACTGGGGAAGGCAGCAGACGAACGCCCTATGCATCACTCCTGCTCAGAAACTTCGCTGTCATCGGGCCAGGCCTTAACTCTTACCTGCTTCACTCCTTGGCTAATTTGCTGGCAGACGACCTCAGCTTCCATGCAACAGCGATTCAGACTTGCATGGCATGGTCCGGATGTCGCGGCTTGATCGGCTTAGGTTGGCATACACCCTGCTCCACTGGAGCTATCCCAAGGACTTGAAGCGCGTCAGGTAGGGCAGGGCGAAACGACCGAACTAGCCAGATTGCAGACTGATCACTGCCAGGGACGAGAAGATGAAAGACAGGAAGGAAGCACGCATGAAGAAGCAACAGGAACGAGAGGAGGCACATAATTAAGGGCAGAACCGGGTCCTGCCAAGCGTGCTTCCGCGGCGGCGCAACTCCTGCTTCGAATGTGGTCATCAACTGGGAATACCCAGACCCGACCCATGCAGAGTGGTTGAGCTGATGGTGAAGTGCAGGGAGCCATGAGTTGGACTTTTGTCGTACAGATAAATTCTTAGGACATGGGACCTCCAGTTTTTCAAAGCCCGTGCTATGTACTGCTGCTGCTACTACTACTGCTGCTACTACTACTACTACTACTGCTGCTGCTGCTGCTACTACTACTACTACTACTGCTACTGCTACTGCTACTGCTACTGCTACTGCTACTGCTACTGCTGCTGCTACTGCTACTGCTACTGCTACTACTACTACTACGAGCTAGTCCATTGCCTTGCAGGGGGCTTCCCCCTCGGGAAAATGCGTGTCCTTGATGGCTGAACCAATCATAAGTATCATCATAAGTTGTGTCTGGGAAGAGCCGTCTCAGTCTCAGCGACTTTGTGAACAGGCGAAGCGGGCGGCCCGAGAGGCGAGCAAAGCACAGGCACTCAAGTGACTCCCCATTGAATTTTCAGCCCTGGCCGTAGATCTCGCTAGGATGCCAGCGCGGAAGCCCCTGAGCAGACGGCCGGCACCCTCATCGAATCTCGCTGTCGCAGCCGATACCGGAAAGGGATCTCGAAGCTTGTCAGGTGGATGCAGGTGAGGACAAAGCCATTGAGCAGATGGCCGGAACCGTGATATCTGTGTGAAGATCCGCTACAACTTCCATCTCATCTCGTCGCGCCAAGCGAGACGGTTAGCTACTTTTTGGGAAGCTGTTTTAGAGGCCAGGCGACTGCGGATTCGCTGCACGTGTAGCACAGGCATGCACAAACCTAACTCTCAAACTCACCGGTAAGATTTGTGAGATAGCGAATTCGGTAGTACCGAGCCGGGCAGGGCATGCTCGAATTCACTGCTCAATAGGCGGTTCTACGTACCCGGATTTGAGCTGGAGGCTGGACAATAGCCGATGGCAGCTTCTCCGGCACAGGGCAGCATCCTCGCACAGCGAAGCTTGTGAGGAGTTGACACATAAATTGTTCACACCTTGACATCGGTGTCTGCTGGCACAGCAGGCGCACGAGACGTGATACCGATGCAAGGGTTGACAGGACTCCTCACAGCGGGAGAGAGGAAAGACGTAGTCCGAGATCTGTATTTTCGTGCGGAATGTTTCGGTCTCTGGTCACTTGCACATCTGGTGGTTCGACTTTCCTGACTACGGGTTTCTCAGTTTTCAAGCATGCGCATGATAGCACCCGCAGAGGATTAATTAAGATGCAAGAATTGCATGTCCGAGCCAGAACCTAAGTGTCAGCGGTGCCTGTGGAGTTTTCGTACTGTGGGATCTTTCCATTCGTTGAGATGTCAACCTACACTCTCAAGGTCGAGGCTTGAATCCCGAGCCTCACAGGCACTTGCAGCTTCCCTTCTCGTCGATGAAAGCTCCCCCAATTTACGCATGCCCTAGCTCATTCGGCCAGCGATGGTCCGTCCGTCTTTCAAGAATACTTCAACTGGCATCGCCCCCGCAGCAGCCGCTCGCGCCTCAGTTGGTCGAAGACCGCCCGCAGTGCGGTTTTCCATTGTGGCTAAGATAAACCACAGCCGGGCCGGGAGATCCGGAGACAAAAAGGTCAGGGCGCGGTCCGGATCACAACGCATGTTGCCCGGCCGACGAGCTCCCACCAACATAAGCATTGGTCAGGGGCCAAAAAAGCACATAAGCATAAGCATTTTATGGGGATATCCCAACCTTGTTGGGCTTCATTATAAGGGGATTTATATGGGATATCCCTATCCTAAGTTTTGCTTATGTGCTTTTTTGGGGTCCTAATTGGGTATGGGAAGGAATGGGACGTCTCACCCGTCCCGGAAGCAGCAGTGGAAGGGGCAGGCTCAGACATCCCACCCTCATTCACGCGTGCGTGCATGTATCTGATACGATCCAGCATTCCACCCAAGCAAACAACCATCCAAGCCTGGATCACGTCCCCTTCGCCCCCCTCTCTAGGCTGTCTGTCTACAGCAGTCACAGAGATCAAGCACGTTGCGGCCATGACAGTCATCGTTTTCGATGTAAAACTGCCAAAAGACCAGACCTGTTGATTGGTGTCACGTTCCTCCTGACTCTTACGACATGAGGGGCAACTTAACCCACGACAAGAATCAAGGGGGTACGCCGCGACGGGTGTCAACACCAAAAGACCGTTTGACAGCCAGTGCTTGCGCGGCGCACCATTGGGGGCAGAAGCATCACCCGCACAGGGTAAAGGGACCACCAACACCATTGTGGCAACAATCGCATGAAGAATGACAACAACACTGACAAGTAGCAGGAACAGCTCCCACACAGAGACAACGTCACAGGATAAGCCTGGAACACAGCACAGCGGGATCAAGAGTTGGAGACCAGAGCACAGACCCCACCACAACACAAACACCACACAAGGGAGGTCCGCCCCGCTCAACGATTTCGGTTGTAGCAGGGTTGTGCATGAGCGCAGGGGTAGGCACTCCGCCACCGACGCATATGTTGCGACCACTTCCCGCATCCCTGCCCCAACACTTGACTCTTAAGTTCTGCAGTGGAGCGGGATGCGAGCTTCGCGCAGACAAACGCCGCTTCGAGCATTGGTGGTTCGCAAGTACAAGTTCAAGAGGGTTCGAGAAAGCTGCGGCTGTTTGGAAGTAAGGTTGTTCATGGTTTGAGGCTTTCAAGGTTGGTTTCGGCGTTTTGTGCTTTAGCGTTTAAGGCTTCGAGGTTATGAGCCGTATGAACGACTGGGATTCAACAGAAAGGTTTTCTGGTTTTCGGAGCGAATTTCGTGGGCATGACTGTTGCGGCCTCTTCGAGCGAATCCCCGCCGCCGCTCTTGCAAATCCTTCATCTGCCACTACTGTAAGTGTGCGAGTCTTTTCTTGCGGTGCGCGAGCATTCTCATTTCAAGCATGCAGGTGCAAGCTTTGCCAGCGAAAGACCGGCAACTCTTCCTGCGCAGCACCAGTCCTGAGCACAGCTTTTGCCAAATGCAGTGCACCCATGGCGAGAGTTCTTCATACAGCATCTAGCATCTACTGTATACCCTTTTTGCACGCAGAGTGAGTCTTTGTGTGGGCCTGGTCAGGCGTTGGGCCTGAAATATACATCTGAGGTATCTGCATACAACATGTTGATGCGAGAGGCAACTGATTCGATGTTTCAGTATCTTGCAGCGGCAATACCGATTCCAACTACAAAAGAAGGAGTCAGCCTGACACAAAGGGACCACGGTACGGACAGAAGCTTGTGTCGTCGCCCACCCTGCGCTAGAGCAGGACTTGCTTTAATGCTGGAGGCCAAGAGGACGAGGAGAGCTTACCTATGCCACAGGAGCCATTCACGTCTAGGCAAAGTCTATTGAGCTCATTCATGCAGCCCACGAAGCCTCTTCTCAGTCAACCGAAGTAGCTTTAAAATACTGGCCTGGCTTGTCGGAACGAGCCGAGCAGGTTTTGTTGGGGTCTGTCTCTGGCCTCCTGCCATGCCTGCACACTCGTTGGCGACAACAGAAGCTGGCCGAGGATCTGCCGCCAAAACCCGTCAAACGACCCTCCAAGGTCAGGAGTCGTTCGCCGGCCTCCGGCATCCCGTGCCACGCAGCTGTTTGAAGTACAGCTGGCGGCCGAGGGTCAGAGCTGACAGATCTGAGCGATGCTGAGCGTTGTGAGAGCTCAGCTTTCTGAGAGCACCTGAGTCTGAGAGCGAAGGCAGCCAGGGTCTCGGCCAGATTCTCCACCTCGGCGAAAAACGTGCTCCGTCTCGCAATCATCCAAGAGCCTCTCGCAGCTATTTCTGCATGGGCAGGTACTATACATGCAGGAGTTCCGCTGAAAGTTGCTGACCTGTGCCTTCCTTGCATTTGGCGGGTATGCGAGTGTCCCACGTTCTGGCGCATTCAGGTAGTTGTCTCTGTTTGCAGCTCATCAGGTGTTGAATCTGAACAGGTTATACGTTTACCGTATTCGGTGTTTGGATGCAAGGATTCGGCTGAGTGTTTGCAAGTTCTGATGCCGATTTCACTTGTTGGCTTTGGTGATGAGGGCTCAGCGAAGCATGTGCGAGTACACCTCCAACTTCCGCGAAGTGCCCCTGCTTGGCGCCAGTGTCCAACCCAGAACTGCTGCCCTGCGCGAGTCCACTGCTGTTACGCGAAAGCCAGCGTCTGTCTCGTTCCATGAGGCATCGACCGTCAGTTGGCCGAGTCTTTCCGGGACGCGAACAGGTCTGGTGCACAATGTGCTTCGCATGACCGACAGTTGCAACAGTTGTGCTTTTCTCTGGCTTTCTCCGCAACAGGTCCTCGCAGCGGCTTGCAGCCGTTCCAAGTGCTAAGAGCTCCTACACGGAGGCCGATGACCTGCAGCCTATTGTCACAGATTGTGAGCAAAGTGAAGTTTCGTTGCATGAAGCATTCCTGCTGTATGGCAGAGGCCTTTGGGCCATTCACGCGCCATGAGCAACGCCACGCGTCAGAGACCCGATTTTCGTGCAAGCGTCTATAAGTTGGTGGGTGTTCGCAGCCTTGATGCGCTAGACGCCAGCCGGCATGCACGCCGGCAGCGGACAGAAGGACCTGCGCTTGCCGAATCCTGCACTGGTCACTTGTGCTTTTGGTCCCTGTCCTGTTCAGGGCGGAGGACTCTGTCGGCTTTGGTTCTACGAAGAGCTCAGAGACAAGGCTCCGCAGTTTCATGGACATGTCGAGGAGCCAAACTTCATTTCTTGACCCGTGCCAGTTCGCTTGCACACAGCAGTCACGGAAAGCTTCCGCTGGACTTGCTCGAGACCACATCGCGCCCAGTGATAAAGGACAGGTGCACTGACGTTTTGGAACTTTAGCCCACAAGGCAAATAATATGTCAGACGGCTGCAGGATCATTTGGGAGCTTCAGCGCAGGGCACGAAGTCTGCATTCAGGAGCTGTGAGTGATCGCACCATGGCACAGCGTGGACCAGCCTGAGTGCCACGCCAGGACTACATACCAGTCCCACTTCAAGCCACAAACTGCGCCAGCAAGCTATTGCAGACCGCTGCTCACATCGCAGGCCAGGTTTATATAGCTGATTCTGAACAGTGCTTGAATGCTGCAACACTGTCATAGTACAGTCTTTCGGTTCGATGCCAGTTTTCCGATGTCCTTGTGTGTGTGAGAAGGTCAAGTTCTCCTGGGCCGAGAAGAGCGGCTCAGGAAGCATCTCAGACGTGTGAAGCTGCACAAGTTTCGACCCAGTCAAACTGGTCGATCCTCCGTTGCCAGCTCTAGCAGATGTTGAAGCAGAGCGCAGCATGCTGCTGCTCGTATCGCTCTGTCCATGGCAGAGATTCTCAGCTTACTCGTGCTGAAGGCACTTTGAGTAAGCATCCGCCAAGCGGAAATGTAGGCAGTCGTTTGGGTTGTTAGGCCATTGACTGATAGAACAGCTGCACGAATTCGTGCCAAAGTGGGGTGGACGTACGCGTGGGGAAAGGTGCAGAACCGCACATCTGTATTTTGCTGCATTCGAAGCAACTTTGTGCCCCATGCCTGCCAATCGATTGCAGCTGGTTGCAGCCTTTGGCAGAAGGTTCGAAGGCCCATGCTTGCATGGAACCCTTTTCCCGTCAAATGTGGCAGGCACATGCAAGCACGGCAGGCATAGCGAAAGTGGCGGTGCAACAGTCAAGCAATAGCTTCAAAGAACATCATGATATTATTTCTGCGCAAGGAAGTGGCAAACACAGTGATGCACGACAGTTTGCCGAGCATGGCTACTCGATTTTTGGTCGTGGCTGTTTGCTGGGCACCATGGCCACATAATATCCCCAACAGTGTAGGGAGAACGGTTCACTTTTGAAGAGGAATCTCGAAACTTGATGTCAGGTTTCAGGTGCTGGTGACCGCACTGATGACAGATGGGCGGGTTTCTCTCAACCCGGATGGCAGCACGGAGCTCGCCCCGGTGAGCAGAACAGAGACATGACTAACCTGGCTCATTGATTTCTCGGTTTCCTTTCTTTTTGCAAGAATGTTTGGGTGTAAGCTCCAAGCGCACATTTATGACGTCATACTATATGAATATCATATAGACTGGAAAGAATATGTCACTGTTCACTAAAGCAAGCTCACTAGGCATCATCGTGCTCCTGGCATTGCGGCAGCGAAACCTCGACTTGCTGGAGAACAGGGCGAAGGCGGTTTCTGACCCGGGAAACAGGGAATACGGTCGGTACCTGGAGCGGGATGAAATCTACGGCATAGCTGGACCTTGGAAATATGATGTGGACCTTGTTAAGAACTTCTTCGGCAAAGTCCCAGACAGCTCTCTGCAGTTCTCCTATGGTGGAGACTTTGCGCGGTTCACATGCACGATAGCCTGTATTGAGCAGGTATTCAACACCAGCCTGAGAATACAGACTGGCAGGGTGGCACCCGGTACTACACCCATCCGAGCGTCTGAGCCAATCCGCTTGCCACTAGATTTGCAGCGTGCGCTGGAAGGCACATCGCTCAATGCGCCCCTGTTTATGCCGCCGCATCCCGCGCAACCGAAGGAGACTGCCTTTAAGTACCCGCAGTCAGGCCGCACAGCACCAAGGGTGCGTCCCTTTCTAATCTCTGGTGACCAGTTCGTTAGCATCCATTTCGTGGCGTATTGCAAAGATCAGTTTGTTAATCAGGACAGTATTGAGGATGGGATTTGCAACAGCAGCCCGCACTCAGTTCTAATCACGGCTTTCGACATCATTGTCCTGCAGCTGCAAACCAACACGCAAAAGGTGGTGCGACTCCCTGCAGTTCCGGATGTCATTGGCCAGAAGGTGGGAACTACAGAGGATGGACAGCATTGTGTGGAGTTCAACGCTACTCTCGGAAGCGTGGCCAACTATGCGAGTACCACAGTAAGGATTCGCTCTTTGTTCAGTGATGGCTCGGTTTCGGATTTCAGTAAGGCGGACGAGGTCTTTCCCGTCTGGCCCATGGCCTACACGACACCTGCCCTGCTGTCCCGGAACTATGGGATTCCCATGCATGAACCTGTTCGGCATCCGCGAAACACTATTTCCGTTGCCGAGTTCCTCGGACAGTACTACAACCCCGAAGACCTGGAGTCGTTCTTCAAGCTAATGGGTGTGCGTGGCTGGAGCACGAAGGAGAAGCTCCGTCTCATTGGCGAAAACTTGCCGATGGCAGGTTCTGTTCTGGGAGGAGAGGCGCAGCTTGATATTCAGTATATAACTGCCTTGGCTTCGAACGTGTCAGCATTCTTCTGGAGCGTTCCATCCATCGAACTCGCCACGAGACAGGAGCCGTTTCTGGACTGGCTCATGCAGCTGGAGGACACTAGCGATGACCATATCCCCCTAGTTCACTCTGTGTCATACAGTGACGATGCGCTGACTATGCCCGCCTGGTTCAAGCAACGTATCAATGCAGAGTTCATGAAGCTGGCCTTGCGGGGGATCACGATTCTTGTGGCAAGTGGTGATGACGGTGTCAGTGGGAGCTTCGTAGCCAAGTATGGCAAGAAGTACTGCGGCAGGAACCGCGAAGAATTCCCCTCATCATCTCCATGGGTTACTTCCGTTGGTGGTACACAGCTTGCTCAAGAAAACGTGCCGGTCTGTAGCTACACATCATCGAAGGTAATGGTGCAATGCCCCGAGGATGGTGAGGTGGTCTGCACATCGGACAAGGGTGGAGGCATTACATCTGGAGGAGGCTTCTCTTCGGATTTCCAGCGTCCCTGGTATCAGCAAGGAGCAGTGGAGCACTACCTCCAGCAGCAGGATGTTCCACCTCCAGACCAAGACGTTTTGATTTTCAACCGCTCTGGCCGTGCTTATCCTGATTTGGCAGCCATCTCCAGCAACTACTTAGTCCTTATGGGCGACGATCTGCAGCCAACTTCCGGCACTTCAGCCTCGACTCCTCTCATTGCCGCCATGGTCGCACGCTGGAACGAAGACCGTCTGAGCAACAGGCTGCCGCCTTTGGGATTTCTCAATCCCCTTATCTACCAGATCTTCTCCAAGCATCCAAGCGCTTTCAACGACGTGCAGATAGGTGACAATCGCTGCTCAAGATCCGTCTGCTGCGACGTTGGCTTCAACGCCGTTCGAGGCTGGGGGGGTAGGGTGGGGGTGGGGGGTTCTGGGGACATGTCAGCAGTAGAGATTGGGCCCTGTAGCGACCCTAGTCTCCAGGCATGGCCAGGCATATCCACAGTACACGTGTGGATGCCGGCTGCACAACGCTGCACAAAGCAACGGGTAGCGGTGCTGGTCCAGTAGCTTCTGAACAGGATGCGCAACTTGCAGAGGCTTGGTTCTGGTTCTCGGATACAAATGCCGCCAACGTAGCATGATTCATGCCTGGCTGAGTTTGCGTAGGCTATGAGGTTACTGTAGGTGTTGGTGGGAGGTTGGGACGCCGTCAGTGGAGTGGGAACGCCACGCTTCGAAGCCATTGCAACGATCCTCCGGGAGGCAGGGCAGTCCTGGTCGAGTCACTAGTCTTTTCTCCAGCTTTCGCCCAGTTGCGCCCCGTTTCTGCAGGAAGCGCTTCTGGCCTTCGGCGGCAGGTTCGCTCGAATGGAAATGGCTCCGATCGCTCTGTCCGAGGGCCTGGGCTCCTCTGTCGCAGGCAGGGAGTCCCCGCACTTCGGATTAGTCTGGCCTAAATGCCTCAATAATTACCAATACTAGTACAATTTTGGGGGGTCCTCATTATAATAATTATAGTATAATGGGCCCCCCAAAACCCTGTTGTAATTATTAAGGCCCCTATATTACGCTTTGAAGAGTGGAATGGGCGGCCGTGCCAGGTCCAGACGTGACCTCAATCGGCTTGATCCCTTTGCTGGCATTGCAGTCTCTGCTGACTGGATTCGTCGAAGCCACAGCAACACTATGAGACATGTTTGATTGCGCCAAAGCACCGAAAGTGTCTCTGTCTTCCATGCTCAGGCCACGTTGGCAGCTGTTTGGGTATGTGGCCATTCGGGAAGGACAAACTTTGGCAGCACGAATGCAAGACGTCCACTGCTGAAGCTCGTTTGCAGAGATCTCTTTGCATGTCTCTAGCCCATCTGCTGCAACTCCCTAGATTCACAGCCGGCGGGTGCTGCCTGAAGCAGAGCTCTATATAAGGAGTGCAGCGTGATCCTGACTGCGTGAGCACTGCGCGCTGCATCGCACCACCAGCAGCTGCGCCCTGGCTCTGGCACCTTCCAGTCCCAGAGGTCTAAACTCAAATTTTGAACTTTCATTGCATGCGAAGGAGGAAATCTTACGAAACCATCAACTCTTGGGCAGGTAGTGTACGTTTTTATCCGCGAGCCTTGAGACAGTTGCTTGTGAAGTGAGTGTAAGCTCAGCGCATCTTTCGCTTGCCCCCAAGCCTTTTGAACGTCGCAACGGGCGTTTACATTCGACGGAGCAGTGTGCTGTAAACGGCCTGGATTGAAATATATGCGGTATGATTCTGGCCGGCTGGCTATCCTCTTGACCGCTTCTACCAGAAGCATGTGGAGACGTGCCAAAGTGCAAGCATGTCGAACAGAAGGTGCACCGGCCTTCGCAAAATTTCGTGAAGTTTGCGCACGAGACATCATGAGCCAGGTTGCACCAGGTTGCAGGCCATACCTTGCATGGCCAGCCCTGGACTGCTCGAACTCAGTTTCTTCGTTAGATTGACTGGCTTGCTGATTTGCACGAGCCCACCGTCCTTGCACTGTCTAATTGCTTTTTCAAGACCATGCAGCCTTGCATACAATCACACCCCAGCACATATCCAGTAGGCAGACAGCACAGCTTTGGAAAAGCGTCTTGGTCGCATGCAAGCCTGCTCGCGCATCTCCAGGCAGGCCTGCACTCAGCTTCTGCCCAGAGTGCCGACTAGTGACTACTTGCTCCACGTGCAGGACATGGCACTAGGCGTTACACATGTATGTGCCCGCGGCCCGCATCTCTTCGCAAAGGGCAAGGTTCTCGATTCCTAGAACCGGTGCGCCATGGCAACCGTGGCGATTCAGAACCATGAGACACCCCTGGACCTCGTGTCCAGGAACTTGAAGAGCGAGAGGCCAGACTCGAGATGTGGAGCTTTGCGCGAACTTGGCAGAATGAGCAAGCGGATGTCAAAAAGAGACATCGAGCAATCCTTGGTCCCCATGCTGAGTGACAATGATTCCTCCGTCCAAGAGCATGCCCTAGTGGCCTTGAGTCAATTGCATGGAAGAGCGCTTGACTATGCACCCCTTGTGGCCACGAAGCTTGAGCAGACTCGCGCGAAGGAGGTCAAGAGGGCCGCCTTGTTAGCGCTGGGTTCGATGGGACCTCGTGCAGTCTCTCACGCCCAGTCAGTCCAACCATTCTTGACCAATCAAGACCTTGACCTTGTTGTCGACGCCTGTTCTGCGCTCGGAAAAATGCGGGCGGCCAACTTTGCAGATGCTGTCAGCTCGAAGCTTTCGAGCTCTGACACAGACGTAGTCTTTGCCGCCTGCATGAGCTTAGCAGAGATGGATTCCCATCTACAAGATGTCGGCAAGCTGCTGAAGCACTCCGACGCTCGTGTTCGATCCGCTGCTGTCAATGCAGTGAAGAGCATGACTGGGGCCGAGAGCTTCTCCTCTGAGATTGTGCCGCTCCTCGCGGACTCAGACAGCTATGTCCGCCTGGGAGCTGCCGACTATGCTTGCAGACTTGGCCCCAAGGTGGCAGACCTGGCAGGGCCGGCTGGCAAGTTGCTTTCAGACCCAAGCCCTGGAGTGGTGGCGGCCGCAGCAGCCGCGCTGGGCGGCATCGGAGAAGGCGCTGCATCTCAGATCCCAGCCTTAGAGCAAGCACTCCGCAATGATGGCGAGGACTCGTCGACATTGCCATTGACCGTGGCGGGGGTGTCGCCCAAGTTGGCTGCTTTGCTTCGCAAGCCAGCTTGTGCTGCAGCTGCAGCTCTCGCCAACATGGGCAGTGCTGGCGCCACTTCTGCAGCAAGACTAGTCGAGTGCTTGAATGCCAAAGACTGGGAAGTACGAGTAGCAGCCTTGCACGCACTGAGCAGAATGCCGGCGGCAAGTGCACGATACGAGTACCACATTTCAGATATGCTTCGGGACGAGGCACCACCAGTAGCAGCTGCTGCTTGTTTGGCGGTTGGCGAGATCGCCGCAGCGACAGAGGCCAACAACTCGACTGCTAGGGCGGTGTCGGAGCTCATGGAGCATCCCCACCCCACTGTGCGAGCTCGAGCAGTCCAAGGGCTTGGCATGATGGGAGATGAGGCCCATGCCCACGTGGAGACCTTTGTGGCTTTGTTCGGGGACCGGGCCTGGAATGTGCAGGCTGAAGCCATTCGCGCTGTGGCCAAATGTGGCGAGATCGGACAAATGTTTGCTCCAGACGTTTGCCGCATGACCTACCAGGGAAGCTCTCCAGCTGTGCAGGTGGCAGCTTGCGAAGCACTTGCTCGGATGGGACATCGTGGTGCCTGTTTCAAGGAGGAGGTGCAAGCCCTGGAGGATGACATGTCTGAAGAAGTTCGAGATGCAGCCAGGAAGGCTCTTAAATTCTTCGAGAACAGTGAAAAATCTGCCTTGGCAGACGGAGCTCGGCCAGCTCTTACCGAAGAGCCCCTTGAGCCAGACGAGTGAGAAGCGGGTACACCGATTGGTCACGTAGGAGTTTGCTAGTTGCTCTTCCAGTATACGGAGAAGCTGCAGGACATGAAAGGGCGGTGTGCTGGAAAAGTGCGCAGAAGCAAACGGACTGCACTTGCTGCCTTCTTGGCGAAGGTCTTTTGAGTATGTCATGTTCGGTCAACACACCGATTTTGCCTTGCTCCTTGTTTCAGGTCATCCTCGAAAGTCCAGAACATGCAGAAAAACATTCGCTCGTCCCGAGCTTTGGGGTTTGTTGTCGACGTCCTGGATGAAGGTGATGCTTTCCTGCATGCAGTAGTTCCATTGACGCATATTGACCCCGTGCTTCCATACCGCTGCCACATATCGCTCGGCAGTCTTAGCCTGAGACATCATCGCACCTTCAACGCCACTGTTCTCCAAACGGAGAAGATCTCAAAAAAGCAGTCCATGCCTTCTGTGCAGTGTTCCCATCTGCACCTTTTCTCTTATCTGCAGGTCTTCCCTCTGCGTGTTTGACTTTGTGCAGGCCAGGCTCGAATTGCCTCTCTGCCCATGCTAAAAGCGTCGTAGCCGGGGTGCCGGTGCCATGCGCCGCTGGTTTGTCGTGGCTGTGGCGATATGCTTTGGTACAGCCTTGGAAGAGCTGGAAGTAGACGACGAGTGCGGCACCACTCGGAGCTGCAGTCTAACGGCATTGCAGTTGCGCTCCCAGAAGCTTCAACATGAGCTTTACCAGGATTTCGAGGTCTCTGCCAACAGGTCTGAGAGCAAGGTCACCTTCATCTTTACATTTGGGGCTGTGGCTACCAGCAAGCAGCCTCTGGAGGATCTTTCGCAGCCGTCACGCAGCTTTACAGGGCTCCGGTGCTACACGGAGACGATTGATGCTATTTCTTTCCTTCCACGGCACACAGATGCCGGCTCAGACCTGAATTTGCTCATGCACCCGAAGGCAGGCTCTCCCCTCTGAGCCTCAGCTCCTTTCCAATGCTGATACCGGTGCCTCAGGTGGCAACACTGGCCCTGCACTTGGGCAAGGACTCTGAGTCCCTTCGGCGGCTCTTGATTAGCTTCAGCTGCTGTAGTTTCCCCTTAGCCGATGTAGCGCATGTAAGACACTGCATGGGGTCGAGAGCCGGGGCATTGCCACATAGACATAGAGGTGTTTGTCATCACTCTCAAGCAGGTTTTATCCGGGAGAAGGACGACCAGATCTTCCAAGACACGGCACAGAGGCGGTCTCGCCACGGGGGAAGCCTGGCAGCATTGCATGTAATGCTGAGTACCGAAGTGACCCCAGAGGCTATCCGCATGCCCGATGTCGACCTGCACGAGACCTGCCTGCAGTCCGGTCACCACACGCACTTTGCATTCTGGGTGGAGAGTGCATGGAAGGTGCTCGATATCATGTGTCGAGCCTGATAGACAAAGGCTTCAACCAGGTGACTCCGTAGGTTCAAACGCCTCATGCCGAGTGCAGAGACAGAAGCGCTTAGAATCAGAATGGAGTCACCCCGTGGATATGACTCTGCGATCGGCAGCTGAGGACATGAAACACTATTTCATTCGTCTTCAAAGCCTGCAACTAGATGGACAAGATGTTTCCCAGCAGCCTCTGTTTGCAGCTTCGTTACGCGCTGGCAGATGTTTGCGTCAGGTGTATGCCAAACGATGTGCTAGCTTCTGCAAGATATTTCGAGCGGGTATCATCACACTATTTGTACTTTCGTGTTTTTTCTGGAAAGGCTTCTGCTTCAGAGGCAGAGTGTAGACGATACCTGAGGCCAGTGCGCACAAATTTGCGAACCTTGCTTGGGGAGCATATGAAAAACAGAAGCACTGGCAAACGTGGCTGGCCTTGCATAGCGCGATGCAGCTTTTCTGTCTGTTGTTTGGGAGCTTCCGTCGCATCGCGGGAGATTATCAAGACTTAATTGCAGGCAGCAGATTGTTCGAATGGAAGATCTGATTGCGAAGCATCTCCAGGGCTGGCGGCTGGTGGCGCAGGAGCACCTCGGTTGCAAAGCCAGCGGCGGGCGCAGTCGTCGTGGTAGTGGTAGCGGTAGCGGTAGGGGTGGTAGTAGCAGCCGTAGCAGTAACAGGAGCAGGAGCACAAATGCAAAAACAGTTCTAGTACGAGTCGTCGTCGTAGTAGTAGTCGTCGTCGGAGGTACAAGTAGTCGTAGTCGTGGTGGTAGTAGTAGTAGTAGGAGTAGAAGCAGTACTAGTAGTAGTAGTAGTAGCAGCAGGACTACTGCTAGTGGTAGTACTGTATACCACCAGATCTGCTACTACCACTGCCGCACCCACCACTACTAGTATACGACTAGTACTACCAGACGACTAGTACTAGTACTAGTACTAGTACTAGTACTAGTACTACTACTACTACTACTACTACTACTACTACTACTAGTACTACTACTACTACTACTACTACTACTACTACTACTACTACTACTACTACTACTACTACAACTACAACAACAACTACTACTACTACTACTCCTACTCCTAC